AAATTTATCTTTCACATGACATGTTTGAAACCACAAGATTAAAAATATTTTAAAATATATTTGCATGTCACAAGTAAAAAAATATGAAAAAAATTAAAAGTTAAGCCTCTCATTTATTTTTATTGTTACACCACTAATTAGCTTGAGAATAAATTGTTGCCACATTTAACATATTCCATTTCTTGAGTTTTAGATTTAAAATATTAGATTTGTGAATTTTTAAAAATTTAAACTATCATCATCAAAACACATTTTAATTACGTCCGTTCTGCTTTTTCCATTTGAATATTATGATCATTTGGATAGAAAAATAAACAAATGATAATAAAATATATTTTGATAAATAACTGATAATATTTTAATAAAAATATTCTACATATATAATAATTTCAAGTATGAAATTAAAAAATACAAATCAATTGTGGCCATACTTAGACAGAGATACAAGGAATTGAATATAAATTTAACTCATTTGAGGTGTGAGAGTAAGCTGAGATAAGTAATTTTTCACATAATATTTATAATTCTCTTTAATTCTAGCAATAGGAAGATATTTGTTCTTCCCAATTTCATTGTTTTATCATTATTTTGAAAATGCATTCAAAACTTAATAAGTTTGTTTTGAAACTATTGCTTTTGTTCAATAATAATTGTTCACTACACTATTTTGAGATATCAAACAATAATTGTTCAATTTATGAAATCAATAAATAATTTTATACTTAGTTTCTAATTATCCTTATTATTAATTATATTGAATAAATACAATGTCTTAAAAAATGTAATAGAATAATAATTATAATTAATGATAAGGATAAATTAAGAACTAAGTGTAAAATTATCCATGAATTTCATAAAGTGAACATATATTGTTGATTTAATTAAAGATTAAAAAAAAACATTGTTTCTAATTGTACATATGAAAATAGAACTATATATAATTATTTCACACTTAAAAAAGAAAGCAATTTGAATGAAGATGATTGATTTAATTTTTTACATGACACGTTCAATTTTTATTTGTTAGATTAAAGATATATTTGATATATCTTTAATTTACTACCACAAGATTCAAAGTCTTGAACGGTCGTATCAAGTTAAATTTGTCGAATAAATTGAAACAAAGAAAGTATTTCATTTTACTCTCTTCGTTCACTTTTACTTGTCACTTTGACATATCAAGAAAAATAATTATTCTTCCGTCCGTAATTACTTCTCCACTTTTCCTTCTATAGTTGTCACTAATTGCTTGTCAATTTTGACATATAAGAAAGAATAAATTATTTTACCTATTATACCCTCAATTTTAATGACTAATTACTTTTAAAAAATGTAAAACTTTTCATCCACTTCATAATTAATAGGGGTAAAATGGTAAACTCACTACGTCATTAATTATTTTTTTAAATAGACGTGCCAATTTAAAAGTTGACAAGTAATTAGAGACACAGGGAGTATTTTTTCCATGTTTTACCTTAAGCATTAAATATTTATTTTTAAAATTATTTTTCAAGACATTAGTTAATAAGGGATATTTTGGTAAAATATCTATAGTAATAATTATGTTAATGAATGTGTCAAGTTAAAATGTGATAAGTAAAATTAAAGGAACAAGTAATATATTATAATAAGTTGTCTATTTTATTTTGTGTTAGTATTTTTTATTGGTTTGCATGTAGTTTATAACAAAAGAAATTTGATATTATTATTGTTCTCTGAACTTAATATAGAGACGTTATTTTTGGTTCATCCTCGCAGGAAAAGGATGTAACGTATTGATTTGTAAATTATAGAAAATACATAATTATTCAGGGTTGGATTTATATCAGTTTTTGAAGTAGTTACTTAAAGTTTGTGCGAATGTTATTAGCTCATGAAATTATTTTAAAGTAGCATATATAATTTTGACAAATCAAGAACGGATAAATTTTCTTTCCTATTATACCCTCAATTAAATGGTTAATTACTTTGAAAAATGTAAAACTTTTACCCACTTCATAATTAATAGGGGTAAAATGGTAATTTCATTGCGTCATTAATTATTTTTTAAATAGATGAGCCAATTTAAAAGTGGACAAATAATTAGAGATATAGGGAGTATTTTTTCCATATTTTACCTTAAGCATTAAATATTTATTTTTCAAGACATTGTTTAATAAGGGATAATTTGATAAAATATCTATAGTAATAATTATGTTCTTAATGAATGTGTCAAGTTAAAGTGTGATAAGTAAAATTAAATGGAGCAAGTAATATATTATGATAAGTTGTGTATTTTATTTTTTGTGCTAGTATTTTTTATTGGTTTGCATGTAGTTTATAACAAAAGAAATTTGATATTATTATTGTTTTCTGAACTTAAAACAGAGACGTTATTTTTGATTCATCCTCACAAGAAAAGGATGTAACGTATTGATTTGTAAATTATAGAAAACACATAATTATTTCACTGGATTTATATAAGTTTTTGAAATCGATACCTAAAGTTTGCGCGGGTATTATTAACTCATGAAATTATTTTAAAGTAGCATATATACCTCCTTTTTTGGCCATTCCAGTTGTAATAAGGCAAGTGTACAAATCACACACCAACCCTAGTCTATCACCTGTTATTCACTATTTAACTTTCATTTCTTTTTTATTTTTGCTTTTAATTTCTATTTTATTTATTTTTTTAAAATTTTTCTCTTTTAAATTTCTACTTTGCCTCTAAAATCATTGTGAAAACACTCTTGCACTACTTAATCACTACTATATCATGACAAATAATTAGATATGAAAATAGAACAATTTATCAAATCAAAATTTAAATAAATCATCTTCATTCTAAATCACCTTCTTTATCTATTAGCACCACCATTTTTGATCATTAAATTTTAGGAAAGAGAAAACTACTTAGTTAAGTTTTAAAAAGAAGAAGATAGAATCTAATAATATCACATTTTAAAATATAAAATTTGAGAAAGAATGATGATTTTTAATTTTTGGCCGGTTAAAAAAGGTTCTTAATAGGCTATTAATGGTGATTCGGGAAAGATGTGAGGATTGATTTTATTTTAATTAAAAAAATTAAATCAACAATGCCACATGGTATTTTAACACTGGTTTGAGGTTTTAATATAACTCTTTCACGCGTTCAATTTTTGTGAGAATACAATTGTCGTATTTACTGAAAATGGTATATTTATCGTGAATATATATAGTTTCATGGATAATAGAACTCTCGCAAATTTTAGGTGTCTACTCCAAAAAAAAAAAGTACAAATTTAATGGTATAATTATGTATTTTCTCTAAAAAAAAATTAATTTATATTTTCTCTAAATTATATTACAGTGTTTATCCGTTTTTTAAATTTTGGGCCTAGGTGGGTGACTGGGTTTGGTTGAAGTCCACTAATTGACAAATGACAACTATATAAGTTTTACTTTCAGTCTCAATTAGGGGACACTTTTCAAATTTCAAAATTTAAGTTATTTTTAATAATGAAATTATTTTTTACATATATTAAATTGTCGATTATTATGTCTTCTAATACTTTTTACGTAATTTATAAATATATATATTTTAATTTTTTTGAAAATTTCATGCGTAAATATTCGATTAAATTTAAATTATTTAAATCTTGAAAAATAAAAAATATCACACAAGTTGGAACTAACGAGTACATTTTTTTTAGAAAAATAATAAAAATTGCTCCTATTAGGATGGGGAAAATGGAAGTGGAGGAAATTATTGTAATAACCAACTAACTGAGCTATTAAAATCTCTGCTTTGACGAGTAAATGAAGTCAATATAGTTGTACGTTTCTCATTGACTTGGAAATCACGTAAAATGACTACTTATTCCCTTATATAATAAAAATATGCAGAAGTTTGACTAATACAAATACAACATTTCCCTTGCTTCCCAAGACTATATCATGAATCCTCTATATATAACTATGGTCAATATTTTCTTAATCCAATCAACTCTTTTAGCTCATAAAAACATAGCCAACGATGAAGAGGGAGGATCGTCAACATGGTCTTGTTCAAACCTCCCTTTGGAGCCCCACGTCCAACTCCAGGTACTGTTTTTTAGCTCGAACTATGTATACATATACTAAAATAATTAAAATGTAGACATTTTATCAATTTTGAATCTACTAATGATACATTTGGGTTTTGACTCTGCAGGTCTGTTAACAAGTTGAATTCCCCTCCCACAGCAGGGTTGTTCACAAAGGCGTCGCCAATGCCCTGGAACCATTCCAAGTTCACAGGCAAGTGTGGCAGGTCTAAATGCACAATTTGCCATTTACAACCAGCTGGAAGGCTAAGGGGACAAAAAAACTGAGGGGTTGTGACATTGTTACTAACTATAGATTGATGACTTGGAGGGTCACGGATACTAGGCCGCGCTTGACCCTCTCTGGATTCTCAGGTACTAGCTGCATATTAGACCATTTGGCTAATGATCACATGGATGATGATGATGATGATGAGTGACGAATGCACTAATAACAAATGTGATGTATAGTTACAAAAGTACTAGCTATGACATGACATTTGTTCACTTTTCGTAACAAAAACTACATGATTTGTGTTTAAATACATTGAGGGACATACATGAGTGATGATGAGATTACTCAATGGCAACCTCAATTGGTTGTTGATTCTGTTTACTCGCCATTTACTGTAGAAGTTGAGGAGCTAAAGATGACTATGATGATGAAAGAATTAACGACTATTTGTAGCATGGAAGTTGTGTGGGAGAGGAATCAAAGGATCGAAAAAAGGAGATTGGTGTTTGGGGGAAGAAATGTGATCTTAGTACGTTACTTGGTTTGTATTTAATGTCGAATAAACTGTTGTACTAAGATTTTCTTATGTTTATAATGATTTTATTGTTGTAAGCAAACAATTATTTATATCAGAAAACATGTATAACTTGAGCATGTTAATGCCAGAACTAAATAAAGCAGGACAATCTTGCAGCTTGTGTTGTATAGCACAAAAATGAGAAAAAACTGCAGTTTTTCGATTTCAAATTGCAAAGACTACTTACTGCAATATAATTTTGAAATTGATCTGGTTTGAATGTCACCCTGAAACTTTGTAAAGTTTTACTTATGATGTACAAAGGCAGATACGATATGGAACAATGCTCACACTCGAACACTTAGACTGGACTACAGGGTTCAACTCTTCATAAAACATGTAACGGGAAGTAGGAATTCCTTGCGTATACATAGCTTTAACACAAGTTAAAGCTATGTTATTAATCTAATGAGAGACATTATAGATCTATGAACATTCAGTTGGGGGAGACTCCAAATTGATGTTGTATATTTGGGGATGCGTTCTGATCACGAGACATTACTGTTGATGATGTATGAGAATTTATCGGTTTTGGGCAGTTCTTCTTTCCTGAATACTTGTAAGAAGAATTCTTGGCTGAATATGTAGAGGTTGGATGTGACGCCAAGTCTTGCATTGTGCTGTTGCTGGGATTTCTTCCAAGTTTTGGTGACTGAGGACGTTTAACCGGGGTCTGCACCAAACTAAACCATATGAACCACCGCCAAGAGAGTAGAGCATGGACAAAACCTAAACTATTCAAAATATGGATCCAGAAGGCACTTTTGGGAAAAAATGAGCTTTAAACAGTTCATTGTTTAGACTTAAGACTATAAAAAATGAAAAAAACCCGCAAGTTGATATAGTTAAAATTATCATGGCCATATATCATGACATGTTTTGACAATGGGGTCTGTGTTTCCTTCAGGATTATCTGCATTGGTAATGCAAGGAGTTATGGTAGTACCTTTTTTGTGTGATTTCTTGCTGTTTCTCTTTCCTTGTAGAACTTAGGCAGGGGACGAGCTCTGAAACAAAAGCTTTGTCGAAGTTTCCTAAGCTCCATTTCAGCTTTCTCCTGCAAGCAAAAAGGTATATGTTCATATCAATTTCAGTTGCTAAATGCTTGCAACTGAAGAAGTCATGCCAAGGCATTAAGGAGTTAAGCTCAGGAAGAACCTTTATTTTTGTTTGTAGCTGAACTTTCTGTACCTCCTTTGCATTGAATTTCTCCTCAAGTTTCTGAAGCAAATTTACAGATGTAAGATGGGATTGGACATAAGAAACATAATGAGATAATCCTGATCTCGAACATGCCAATACATACAGAAAAAGGCCTTACTTGTTTCCTTCTTGCAGCTCTTTCTTCTGTCCTCAGTAGAAAAGGAGTCGATAAAGAGGGAGATTGTAGTTTGTTACGGCAGGCTGTTAAAGACTTGGAACAACTGCAGAACAGTACTAAGGTAAGAGAGATCCAGTGGCACAACAAACTGACAGAATTCTATAATCTATATAGTGCAACTTGTATTCATGCCAATATAGGCCATACCTGGTGTTTGATTGATTTATGAACCATTTCTTATTTTCAGTTGACATACATTAGACTATGTAGGTTTGATTTCGGTTTGATTACGATCTGATTATAGAACTATGTTCTCGTAGAATCAAATGCTCCTCAACCCAAACTTCTACTAGAAAGAGCATCTCAAATATTCCTGCTATGTTAGCTTTCATCCACTTAGATGACAATGGTAAAGTGCGTCTACGATTGCTAGAATGTCCTAATTAGAAGATTTACATGTCAACTCAATGCCCTTCTACCAAGATGTTGTTGGCTTTTTACATGTAGCCATCTACTGTATGTAAACCTAAAATCCGAATCGAAGATACTTACACAGATGACAATATATTCCATTTAGGACCAGTTGTTTGACTTCCTGAGGCTGATGGATGAATTGGTGTTTCCATCCTGTAAATTTGAAATAGATGAAAACCAATTTAATGGTTGTTGCTGGCTTGCTGCTATGAAAAAAACATGCAATTTTTTTGCAGTCGGAAAGCTTGAAATATCTTTTTACTACAACCTCTATTTCAAAAAGAATGACCTAGTTCGACTTGGAACGGAGTTTAAGAAAAGAAAGAACTTTTTAATCTTGTGGTTATATATTAAAGTTATGTCAAATGTACCAAATTTCCTTTTAATTTTGTGGTCTTAAAACATGTCACGTGAAAAGTTAAAGTTAAAATGTTGCCAAAAAAGCAAAGGGGTCATTCTTTTTGAAATAGACTAAAAAGGAAATAGGGTCATTCTTTTTGAAACGGAAGGGATTATGAATTATGATATAATAATACCTTCTATTTTCAGAAGATGGGGTTGTCATGAGATGTTTGACTGCACCATCAGAAGTTTCCTGCAGGTGAAAGAGAGACAAATTTTAGCACGTCCAGCATAATATTTACGAGTGTATCTTTGGCGCAATTAAAGACTATTAGGTAATTACAAGTAAGTCTCTTTCATAAGCATTAATCAGTAACCTGATATAAAGATAACTTACTTGCTATAACAAGTTAAACTAAAGTGATAATATGAGATACCTTAGGTACAGTTATTAGGAGGATTAGCATTTAGCGAATGAGAGATAAATAAGCAGAGGAAAGTAAGTACCGCAGGAGTCTTGAGAGGAGTTATACACTTCTTCGCGGCATTGGAAACGAGCTTTGAGCTTTCCTTCTTGAATGTGGGAGGGGGAGGAGGAGGCACCTTATCTGTCTCTTTGGCAGGAGTGAAATTAATCAATCTGCTCAAAGATTTCGAGGTTGATTTCTTTTCATTTGCCAACGCTGATGTGGGATTCTTTGTGATTGGAGTGAAATTGTTTTCTTTATTGACAAGACGAGACATGTTATGCCTAGCTGGTGAAGGTGGAATTTTAGACTTTATAGAGTGAACTGATGATTTAAATGAAGAGAGAGCTGTTTTTTTCTTGCTCATTGCAGATGTAACGTCATCGTCTTGCTTAGAACTGGAACTCTGCTGAATCGACAAAGAAAATCAGTCTCCATACACCAGCATATTAATCTAGACCAATCAATCAGTTAATGAAGCCATCAATTAATCAACTTCTCAATCTACGCTGCATCTAATCCTCTCTACTCGAATCCATTTCATTCACGTTAGACTCACACGTACAAGTTACTATTAACCAGGCTAAAAAATTCTTGACACAATTTAATTTATGAGTGTAAGTGTTGGACAATGCCATCATTTTGCCTATGGTGAAGTCAAGTGATGGGCCAATATGGCCAGGGTCAGAGTCATGATCGAACATGATGTTTGCTTAATGAGTTCGGTTAAGAACTAAAGTTTCACGTCATTTCTATCAGCTACAACATTTGGCACGATGGTGACACGGTACAATCTAAAATAGCAATTCAAGTAAAAACCATAGGAGTGAGTAGACCATGTTTACCTTCAGCAAAGGTTTCTCTGTATAAGATGTTTCACTAAGCTCTGATCCTGAAAATGTTTCTTGAGGTTGTTTCAATGAACCTACACGCGCTAAAGGCGCGACATTTTCTTTCTCCTTCACATCAGCAACTCCTTCCATGGAACTATTTACATTGGGATCCACTGCTAGAGTATCTTGTTGGGTATTTTCTTGTTCAAGCAAAGCTGCAGCCTTTTGGGCAGCAATTTTCTTGTAATGAGCTTCAAAGAAAGCTTTTTTCTGAGCAACAGAACCTGGTTGAGCATACCTCTCTGCTTCCTCAACATAACGCTTGTGAGGGAATGCAGACCATTTATCCCATGCCAACGACTCCGTCGTAAATCTCCCAAAAGAAATAGACTCCCCTAGAGCATGCATGTGGTTGCCCTGAATTTACAAGAAGAAAACATAGTTCAGGATTCAGTGTTCGTGTGTTTACTTATTCATATTTGAATTCTCGTTGGCTCCGCCACCAATTAGGAGACGATATGAAAACAAAGTAATGATACCTGCTTAGCTTCATTAGGTGGTAATGCAGAAGCATAAGAGAAGGCATGCATAAGACAAGCTGAATCTCCCATTACAGGACAAACAACAAAACAAACTGAGGAACCTGAAACAGTACTAAAGAATGTTACTAGAAAATATTACTAGGATTACTGTTCTGTTGTTGTTGTTTTCTCTCCCTTAATAATTATAGCATGTAAATTTTCTCTCTCACACATACACACAAACTTTTTATGGATCTCTGGGCATTTAAATTTGAAATTCAAATGGAAAAAAGTGTAAAAGAGAAACGTTGTTTAAAGGTGTAGGCCCCCTCCCCTGCTTGCTGAGGCAAAAAGGAAAAAAGTTAATTCTGCTTACTTGACCAAGACAGAAAGTTTAGGTCTTTTTCAGTAGAAGGTGGGGCCTTATCGTTCATACTTCAAAAGTTTAAATTGTTTTGGAAAATTTCAAGTGGCAGATGATTTTGATATTATGTTGTTTTCGCTCATGGATGTTACATTGTAACAAATGTATATAGTTTGCAAATAATCCAAATACATTACGAGTAAGATGACGTTTTGTGTGTGTTTAGGTAGATTTGTGATCATCATATTAAAGTACTGCGCTTCTTCTATGTGGAGCTCATATTGCACAGCAAGCAGAAGAAAACGTAAGGTTATGCCTTTTTGTTTCTCAAATGTCATGTGATTTGCAACAAACAAATGCAACTGGCTGAACCACCAGCTGTTATAATGTCATATTTTCAAGTGAAAAAGAATAGCAACAGCTTTTGCATAGGAAAGCATCTGAAATCTACCAAAACTGAAAGAGCTATATCAAATGGCTGGACCCAAAAAAAAATGCTATTATTAGCAACTACTATAGTTCAACTGCTATTTTTTCACATGCTAACGACATTCTAATTTTGTACTTGCAAAAATCTAAACAGTGCAGTGACTGATCAGCAATATGTTGGTCGATGTCTGCATCATTAGAAATAGTTTCGTAACATCTACATGCCTCATCTTCAACGGGGCATCACAAAACCATGTCCATTCGTATCTCATGCTGTTTCAGCAGTCCAGAGTTGCTTAACCTGCCCATTTGCATCAATTCTTGCAACTACTACAGTAACAGCAAACAAACCAGAGATTGAAAAGTTGCGTAACTTCATGCAATGGAATGGATATTTTAACACTCCAACTGGGAATGGACTTGGAAGCACTGTATGTCATATGCAACTTCCATTGTATCTTTCGTTTCAACTGGAATTCTGCTTTTGGGCGTTGTAGTTTCATTGGATACATCAAATATGCATAGCTTATAAAATGCCACAAATTCGAGTGCACGTATGCTACGTTAGGGGCTAGTTTCTGTCCTGCCACTTTGTGCACGTGCGAAGATTGTCTTCTAACCATAAATACTGTGTTTTATCAATGTACAATTTGCATATTCATGGTGTTTTTAAAAATCACTTTCTTCTGGGAGGATCCGGCTAAGTCATGTTTCTTTAGACTTTTGATGTAATCTCTCGTGAGAGGTAGAGGTAGCCCCACATGAAAATGCCAGTCTTATGCAAGTCATCGAACAATTACCTAGAATGGAACCAAATGGATGACATCCCTGGAAAAGCAAAAGAGACTCCATATTGAAGACAAAAGTATGTGCTTTTATTACCTAACTCCATAATTCCAATAGGTTCAGAAGAAGCGATCCCCGTGTGTCGCCTCCCATATATGACCTGATCCAAACACAAAAGAAGTGGAAATTTGAGTATTATAAGAATTCTTCAAAGACTATATAAAGGCTAAAACTATACATATAATAGTTTATCCTTGGTAACTGGTCGAATGAAAGCTCACATAGCTACATTGAGTGCTATTAGCACAGGATAATGAACTTCCTATTATGAAACAGCAGAAGAACCAATAAATCATCTAGGCATGGTAAAAACTAAATTTTCATGTAGGTACCTTCCCACCACCAACTGATCTAATTGTACTATCAACAGCTGGGCTAGATATTCTCAAATACTCAGCGGACAAATTGTACATACTATCATTGTCCAACTTCACCTCTACCTGGAGAATATTCACCAAACAACATGTCAGCCCAAGTTCTACAATAACAGAAGCACATAGTACTAGCTTCCATATTCTAAAAGTTCAAGTGAATATGTACAAAACACCTACCATTAGGGACTAAATTAGAGTAGATATTGGAGAACTTCCCAAAAGAGCAGCATAGCAGCTTCCAAATGTCAAATAACAGGCAAATCAGTATCAACATTGTGTACTTAAAATGAAATCTTTGATCCATTTAATATGGTTCATGAATTTTCTTGATTATAGTAGCATTCATTCTATAGCAACATAATTAATAAACAGGAAATGCTTCATCACTTCAGAGAATTGGCATGGTTATCTAATTTAAACCAAAAAAGTGTCTTGTAATTCAGCTTATACTTGAAACAGGCAAGATTAGAAGAAAACACAATTCTCAGCAAAATACACAACGATGGCCTAAAGGTTCATATGCCTCAAGGCTAAGCATATAATGCTAAGAAGAGTGCAAGTTAAGTGACTTACTGAATTCAAAGTAAAAAAGTAAAGTGGTTATTTACCATGGGGGTACATTTGTAAACAATTAGCCATATTTGTTTCCTCAAGTTTTGAGTCATAGGAGGGTTAAACAACTTATTCCTTAAGTCCAAACCCAAAGCCCAGCATTAGTTTTCCTAATTATACTTTCCAAAGTACTCCAAGATCCTCATACAAGCATAATCACCACAGATTTTTTGATAAAGATCATCGGTGTTCTATTTATTGATTTTACAGTAGCAAACTAGCAATTGCACGCATCCAAGACATTTCAATAAGTCTCTCCACCCACAGATGTACTAATTGATAGAAAGCAGAGATATGTATGTTCATACTACTGTCCTTAAAACCCAATAACCATTCTTTGGGTAAATTATTTTCAAGTGGAAGCTTTATAGTAAGTTTTGGTTAGACAAGTTATAATATGGCATAAATTTTGAACTAAAAGCAGGCCTCAAATGATTTTATTACAAAATATTAGGTATAATACTTTCAGTAAGCACACTTGTATGAATTATTGTTCTCAAGGGATTACCATTACATATTTGATTCTCCGGGTATGAGGTGATAACTCTAGCTAATATAGTTCTTGACAGTACGCCAATTCATTGGTCTTGGAGGCTACACATTCAGCTCTCAAACTGATATGAAGTGCGTTTTCAACAGTATTTATCTTTGTAATGATACTACTATTGTTACTAGACAATACCAGTTAACTCCATCAAAATGATACTGAGGAAAAGATAGAACTTGAAGTCTTCTACACCATAAGCAAAACTTAAAGTTAACGATCCCAACAATTCCATATTCTGTGTACTAAAAGTACCAAGAGAAGACATGGACAAACTCAGCAAATAATAGAAGGGCAGCCAGGTTCACTAAGCATCCGCTATGCACGGGGTTCGTGAAAGGGCTGGACCACAAAGATCTATTGTATGCACTCTTACCCAACATTTTTGCAAGAGGTTGTTTCTACAGTTTGAACCCATGACGGCATGACCTCCAGGTCACATGGAGGCAACTTTACCAATTACACCAAGGGTCCTTCCAATACACTCAGCAAATCCACAGAAAAATAAACTTTATTAATCTTAGTATTTATCATTGACCCAAAATTAGTAAAAGGACAGAAAAATTCATCAATCAATTACACCTCAATCACAAATTTGTTCGAATTAGGTATAATGTTATACAAAGAAAAAAAAGAACATATAGGAGGAGAAAATCAATAGAAAGAACGTACAAATTTAGGAGCATGAAGACCAAATCTGATGAGACGTGGGCAACTTGCAGCAGTCCGTATGCTTCGAATAGCTCTTTTTTTTCTAAAGAAGGAAATTTCAGCTCTACTTCAATTCATATATTATTAGCTTATATCCACTGGCACAATAGAATATCATTCATATTGACTATACATCAAAACAACAATCAAACATCCCCAGCAAGTTAATGATACAGACATAATCTACTTTTTGTCAATGAAAAATGAAGGATTTCAATAACAAACAGAGTCAAATGATAATGGGAAAAGCCTCTGTTGGGACATATGTTCAAAAGGGAAATCCTCTGTACAATTGTTTCTTGGAGGATTCTGCCAACCTTCTAACACGTTTAACTCCTGTATAGTACTCCATCAATTCATGAGCCACATCTTCTGGATGGCAATTTATAAAGGCCTTGATGAACCGCTTTTCTGTCATCCTCATTGCTCTCAACAATGAAGGACCTTTCACTCGAGGAACCAGACCCATATCATCTAGCTTTGCCCCTAATAAATACCTTGGCTTTATGGCAGTCTCCAAATTCAAGAACAGCAAACACGGATTATCTTGAATCAAATTTGCAGAAAGCTTCATTGTACCCAATAAATAAGTCATGTTTCTCTGAACCTTATCAACAGACAATGTTAACAAAAATGGAGACCTTCCAAAAAGCCTAAAGACTTCATCTTCAGTAAACCCATGTTTCTCCAAATTAGCCACCTTCTGACGGATAGTCTCGGACCGCGAAATAGCAAACAAAGCAACCACATGTTTATACATTGTAGTACCCTTTTCCACACCGGTTCTTCGAATATAATCCATCTTCTCATCATCCAAAGAGGTTCTTGGTATCAGAGTTGGTCGAGCTAAAAGCATGGAAACTAACTCACTTCTGCTAAGACCCAATTGTTCATAAAATGCAACAATTGGTTTAATCTGTTTATGGAAGTCATAAGTAAGCAAAGACGGATTTCGAACAATGGCCTTAAGAAGAATTTCTTTAGTACCAAACAAAGTCTCAAAAAACTCAAGGCGTTCTTCCAAGCAACGATTAATCCGACAATCAAGGAAACGAGGACGGCAATTAATAATCCTGGTGAGATCAGAGGATGGTAAACCTAACTCACTCAGTATTTTGAGCTTTGAGTCAAGGAGTTTGAGTTCCATTCTTTGCAAAGATGGGCGTCGCTGAAAAATCTTGGAAATGTCATCGTCGCTACAACCCCATTGCTTAAACAAATCTGCTGAGTCTTTGGGAGTTCTACAGAGTTCTTCTTCTGTTTGGTCTTCTGGGGATTTTTCAGGAGAAGGCAAGACAGCAGCTACTGTGAGCAATCTGAATGAGTAAGGGTTTAAGGGATTTAGGGTTTTAGAATTGAAAAACAAGAAACGAAATTGGGTAAAAACATTGAACTTAGCTGCTTTCATTATTAGGGCAAAACAGAGCAAAATGAAATCTGTAAGAATTTTGGTCAGAATGGAGGAGACGATGTACGCTCGATATGATTGGGCCGGGTACCCGATATAGTTGTTTTGGACAAAGTGCACAAATAGCCAGTTTTAAACCACTATTTCAGACATAGCCAAAAATTCCTATATTATTACAAGTTTAGCCGCTTTTAAATCAACTTCAGTTGGGCTGAGTGAAGTTCAGACATAGGCGAGCGTGTTTACAACAACAACATATTCAATGAAATTCACAAAAGGTACGTAGAAGATAGAGTGTACAGGAACCTTACCAATACCTCGTGGAGGTAGAGAAGTTGTTTTCAAAAGTTCCTCCACTCGAGTACAACAAATTCAAACAATGTAAAACACAGTCAATACACGGTGAACAACAAAGTAGTAGGATAACAACCAAAAGCCTTAGACAATAATAAGACAAATCTTAACTACCTACTATAACCTTCTGCCTTTATTCGTGACCTGCATACCTTCCCATATAAGGTCCATGTCCTCAATAAGCCGAAGATGTGTTATATCATGTCTAATCACTCTCTCCAATACTTCGTTGGATAGGCAATTGTGTTTCCTTTTCAATACTAACATGAATTGATTAAGCTTTACTTTCTCATTTTTCCTATCAATGTAATTGAATGGTGTTGAAAACATATTCAATCCTTTTGTTCAACTAGTCTTTTATAGTTCTCCAAAAAAAATCATTTTTTTGAACAACATTACCAGAGATTTGCTCTATTATATGGTCGAGCGCCATTTTAGAGCTTATTTTTTCTTTTGTGGAGACTTTAGTGAAGAGTTTTGCTGGATTGTTCCTCAGTTAGGGATTATCAATATGAATCTTATACTCCTGCTCCTTTATTAGTTTATTGGCAGGCAAGAATGTTTTGTTCTTTGAGGTGGTTAGAATCTGAATTTATATGTAGATAATAATGCAGAAACATACTTGTGTTTCATTAACATATTCATTGAATTCTCCATGCATACAAAGTTAGTTAGTTGGTGGACGAATCTAATTTAAAAAGTAAAAGAGTTCGTTCATTACTGGCTCCACATTAGGAAATCTAAATTTATGTTCCTCTCCCTCTAACACGAATGTTGTTAATAGCTGTTGATGCCATGGCCCTCAAATTTGCTCTGGCTAGAGCAAGAGCATTTTTATACTGCTCGTCAGTGCGCCTTGTCCTAAATGTCTCCTTGTGCTCCTCTCTCTGCAGTTGCAATGCCAATGCAGCATCCTCATCTTGGTTTGGTGGTGATTCTCTCCTTGTACTTTTCCTAATGTCTCCATTTCTGCTTGACGTCCCAGAAGGCCTCACATTTGGTCTTCTCGTAGATTGAGAATTCCGTTGTTGTGCATTTTGAGATCCAGAGTCTGGACAATGTAACGCTAGGATCCTATCTATTCTGCTTCTTGAAATAGGGTGGAAGTTCATTTGCTGTGGATTTCGTGATCCAGAATCTGTACTATGTAACGCTAGGACCCTATCTATTCTGCTTCTTGAAATGGAGTGAGAGTTCCTCTGCTGTGGATTTCGAGATCCAGAATCTGGATTACGTAATGATGCTAGGGCCCTATCTGTACTGCTTCTTGAAACATTAGGATGACTGGCAACTATTCTTGCTGGATTTCGATGCTGAACTTCTCTACTATTTAAGGCTCCAGCTGCTTTTCTTGCTTCTACTTCTTTAGGAAATAGAAGTTGAATTGTATTCCAAAGGACTGTGTTTACAGTACAAGATCTTCCACTGCTGCAAAAATCATGTGTTATCATCTCACACCAATTCTAAAAAGTTTGAAATTTCGCAAACCTCAAATGAATAATTAGAAGTATCTCCTCTCCTCCAATATTACACTCCATTTCAATTTGTTTGTCTGGTTTTGACTTGACACAGAGTTTGAGAAAGTATATAAAACATTTGAATCTTATGATATTATGCTCTATGTATCGTCAAAAAGGGGAAAAAACATTCTTTTTGAAACAGACCAACAAGAAAAGTAAAACAAACAAATTGAAACGGAGGGAGTACCTGATAAGCTGTCTGCACTTGGGACATCGCGTCCCACATTTGTCAGCAGAAGATTGCAAACACTTCCTACAAAAACTATAGACATGATTGGGACAATAAGTCGGAACATATAACTGGAAATTTCTACGGAGTATTGTTCTATGAATCTGAGTTGATGTGAATGTATTGCAATACCTGTGTCCACATGGTGTGGTGCTTGGCTCAAAACAAATCTCCAAACAGATCTGCAAATACAATTGAACAACACTGTAAGATGAAATTGGAAATGTCAATAAAAAGGCCATCAGAATCCAAGAATGAACACTCAAAATCTTACTGCACAAGAAAGTTCTTCACGAAGTAGATCGGTACAGACAATGGCTGAACCAGAAGAGAAAACACAAGAGCCGTGTTCTTCTGATGCTTCAACTTCTTCCTTATCTCCTTTTCCAGTGAATTTTTGCCCTAGCTTCTTTTTCTCAGTTTCTGCTCAAAAGTGTAATGAAATTATTTTATTACTTGTAAGTTGTAACATGTTGAGATTAAGATTTACTCATTAGATTTTTGCTATTAGAGAACCTAAAATGAAACTTTAGCATTAGAGAACCTTAAGTTTGTCTCAAATGGTTGAGGGCTTAGAATGCAACAGTTCCAAAATCAAACAAAATGGATGATAAAGGTTCATACATAAATTGGGACAGGCAGTAGTAGTAGTAGTAGACCAGTAATTGTACATCTTTACAAATTATAACAGCAAAAAAATACAGATTTGAGAAAAGATAAAGAAAACCTGTTTTTGCAGAGTCATCATCATCGAGATCAATAAGAGCAATGCGTATGGAAGCAGGGCTAGTCTTCTGAGCCCTTCGTTTCCTAAAAAGATCAAAACTTTTGAGACTTCCCAATCACCTAAATAAAAGTATTTCTCAGAATTTAATCAAACAAAGTTCAATTGACAGCTTAATTACCTTCTGGAATTCGTAGGCGGAGTCACAAAATGCTGCAAACCAGTAAGTTTCTTTTGTTTATGCTGGCGATCAGGAGTTTCTTCTACAACAAGACTAGCTATGACAAGTGCTTCTTCGTCCCAACCCGCCATTGCAGCCACTGATTTGAATCTTGGGCTGAACAATTCCTCCCGTTTTTCTCCATTAAAGGTTTTCGGATTATGGGGACTCTTCTTCAACTCTTCATTCACCATTTCGTATTGAGATTACCCTCTGTTTCTTAGAACTTTGATTGCTCAGATTTGCTCCACAGAAAATGGATACAGGTTTTTGGCATTAACGGTCAAGTATTTACAGTGCAACGGCTAGTTTTTCTCTATTTGTTTTTTCACGTTTTGTCCTTGTGGTTTAGGTTATCTCTAGTTTTAGTCCATCTATTGCAGTATTTACGATACATTTTGGAGTTGGTCAAATAAATTTTTAAATGTTTTTAGCCCTCGAGAGTTTTTGAATATTTATTTTTTAAAAAAATTAAAGAAAGTACCTTAAGCTTTTCATTT